AAAGAAAGAAAGAAAGAAAGAAAGAAAGAAAGAAAGAAAGAAAGAAAGAAAGAAAGAAAACTAGCTGAAGTGTGTCTGAGAGAAGCAGCAGGAAGAAAACGGTGTTTGTTTCAGACCTAAGATGAATTGAGACTTTTTTAAAACAAGCCTTCAATCAGGACTTTTCCTAATTCTCCCCTACTCGAGCTACTTCATCCCTTTTCCCCCTTCCTCTACCCCCATGTTCCTTTTCTCCCTCTGTCGATGCAAATTACGCAGCCGCAAACAGCTTCTGAAAGTTTTAGTGAGTGATCACACTAGCCATGAATGCACACAAATAAAATATTCATGCATCTTAGACTTCTGATCAGTGCCTGTGGGATATCATTAGCTTTCCTCATTTTAGAGGTTTCTGCACATTAGTCTATTAGAAGAATAGACAGAGCTCACTCCCTGCAAATTTACAAGACACAGATTGGGATCCGCAGAGGTGGAGAGGGGGGAAACAGGAAAACGACATGTTTGTTTAATCAAGGCGGCGTTTTGTAATGAGACACCTTTTGGCCCCCGTCTTGCAGACAAACTGCTCCAGGAAGTCTCTGCAGACACGACGAAAGGCACCGTGAACCACATGATTTGATAACGCCGCCTGACCTGCCGTACTGTAACACAAACACGGCTCACTCTGCCCACAGCGCTAACTGCTGACTGACGGATACCAACAGCAGCACCGGGGTGGAAAGAAACAGGTGAGTGGAGCGTGTGCACAATTTTTTTCAGACCGCTTTCTGGCCAATTTGCATTTTTGAGTGTCTGAACACAAAATCTTTTATGTCCATTCAAACCTGTTCAGACAGAACAGTTTAGCTCAAAAAGCAACATCAATGGCACTTACTGTCAAATCCCCATTCTAGTCTTACTACATAATTTACCCACTAATGCCAATTCTGAAGTAATTGTTCACCTCTTTTGAAGTGGGGCTCTGTGGAAAGGTCATGAAATATTTATATCTTTTGTTGATCTATTTTTGAATGACCTCAGTTTGGAGAAATGAGATTATAAGTCTGTCTGCAAGAGGCAAGTCTGAGAGAGAGAAGACTAAAAATGGACTGCTGCTGGCCTAAAACAACTCCATTTTAAAAACATTATCATTACTAACAAAAACATTACCACTAAATAGTTATTTAAATAGAATTATGTGGTTATAGGAAAACACCATTAGCAGAAGTAGAAGTTAGCTGTAGCACTTCCCATGCTTTTTGGGGTATTTTCAGCAGGAAGATCATATTTCAGACAGAAAAACAATATAAAGCAAAAATGATAGTGCTTTAAAGCAGTTTCCCAAAGTTGGGGTCAAAATCCCTCTATGGGTCATGAAACATCAAGGGAGTGTCCCCAGATGATTTCCACTCATCAATTTACATGTAAATCAATTACAACTATAGAAAAAAATACAATAATAAATTAAATAAAGTGGTATCATGGTTTTTAGGTTTGCTTATATTGCTATAATGCCCAGTATATCTGGGGTCACAGATTTCTGCAGCTGTTATTTTGTGGACTAGAAGCTAAAATGTTTTAAATCCACTGGTTTAAAGTTTAGAACAGTGTTTTTCAACCCTGGTCCTCAAGGCACACTGCCCTGCGTGTTTTAGATGTTTCCCCGGTTCAACACAGCTGATTTCAACTGACAACTGATTAACAGGCTTTTGTTGAACTGCAATCATCTGAATCAGGTGTGTTAAAGCAGAGAAATGTTTAAAACATGCAGGGCAGTGTGCCTTGAAGACCAGTGTTGGGAAACACTGGAAAACATCATGAACTGTTACAGTACTGTACAGTATCTGCACATGATGGTGTCCGCACAAGTTTTATGTCTTGCTGCCTTCATGTAAATATAGTAGTGAGATTGGTCTTATTCAGAGTTGTAAAGTAACTAAGTACAAATACTTTGCTACTGTACTTAAGTAAATTTTGTTTATCTACTTAATTATTTTTCAGCCTGCTTTTTACATCTACTCCTTACATTTTTTTTTAAAAAAAGGAAAGAAGTAGAAAGTCGTTTCTCCTACTTCCTTTTGGCTCGTTATTGTTAAAAAATACAAACCTGAAAATGTGTGGTTGGATGACGTATAAATATATACAGTTTTGAAACTGTATTTAGCTTGTACACAGTCCATCAAAGCTGCACGCCTTTAGAAAAAAAATTTTTTGAAGAGGTCACCTCCCAATAAATGTATTTTGGGAAATCTAACCATTCATTTTTACTCAATACTTTAACTTTTAATACTTTATTTTATGTCAGAAATTTACTTTTGATATTTAAGTACAAAATAAATCAGATACTAAAAGACTTTTACTCAAGTAATATTTTTAGAGGAGACTTTAATTTTACCAAACTAATTTTATGATAAGATGTTTTTACTTTTATTCGAGTATCATTTTCAGGTACTTTAAACAACACTGGTCTTATTGAAACAAACAGACAATAAAATAACAATAAAAAAAGACACCTCAACTTTACCAGGCATTACTTCAAATAGCTTTTATCTCATAGCTTTGTGTTCAGACATTAAAAAAATGTAGTTTATGTAGATATAATTAGTTATTTCATGCTAGAAAAAAGGTCATGTAACACCATGTGTGTGCGTGTGGTGTAGTAGGTGGGACTTAAACCCTTAAGTAAGCAGATGCTGGTCCCAAAAATACATGGCAGCTTTGAGGTGTAACGAGATATGATGTCACAAAATCCTGCACGACTRAAACATCATGGGATTTCTTATTGAGGTAAAACTTGTCCCTCGAACTAACACCAACAAAACCAGTCTCATCTGGTTTCTTTATTCCTAAAGATGATCCATCCACTTTAAATGATTTGTGTGGCAGTGGTTCACAGCATGTCACTCCTGTCATGTTGTGAAGGCAGCTTTCTCCTATATCTCCTGCAGCCTCTGCAGCTACAGTACATGCTGAGAGGAAGAGCCTTTGTCGCATCATGTCTCATCTTATGAGATGAGCGTCTCATAGCAGCTTCTGTAAACAAGGTTCTGCTGATTTTAAGTCCTTTCAACTAGGAAAGACAGGGACGTTTCATCTGATAATATCACCCATGCCAGCGTGTGACTAGCTGTGGTCGACAGAGTACTCACTCAGTTTCCTTACTTTTTTATATATCTTGCAAAAAAGTCTGGATATTCTTCACTTGCAACTTGCTGCTGAGTGTTTTTATGATCTTTGGAGTCACTGAATCTCACAGCAATTGATAAAGTAAAAAGATGAGTAAACCAAAAATAAAAAAGTAAAGCCACTTTCCACTGAGCAGACGAGGGACCACTCTCTCTCTCTCCTCTCCTTTTTAAACAAAGACAACATTTTAAATGTTTTCTAACAAACCCTTTTCAGCATATGCCTTTAGAACAAAAAATGGTTACTTAAAAATCCAAAATCACATAAGTAAAGCAAGATTCTAGTTGGCGTGATTGTGCATTTTCTTTGCCAGCTGTTTCTCTGTCTACGTTTCCGCTAACACCACTGGGAAGCTCCAGAACAAGCTGCCAAACAGATCAATAATTCAACCACCCAAAACAGATTTTTACAACGAATAGAAAATTCAAAACTAATCTTTTTTTCTGAGTGAGTGAGTGCAAACGGGGKTTTTTATGAAAGCGTCATTTAAAGCTTGAATTGCATTTGTTGGGTTTTCCTGTTGAAAATCACCTTTTCCTTACCTGCTTCCTTGGAGAGCTGTGTGAAGGCCTCAACTCCTTTCTCCCCATAGCTGCCTTCTGAGGCCACGGTGGAGACGTACGTCCAGTCCAGGGCTTGGATTATGTCCACCATGGCCTGGGCCTGGAAGGAGTCTGGAGGAACCACTCGTGAGAAGAAGTCGTAGCGCCTGTCGTCACTTAACTCTGGGGCCGTTGAAGCGTAGCTAATCTGAGGGATCTTGAGAATACAAGGTACAGAGAGAGAGAGAGAAAAGAAAATTAACTTTCTAAAGGTTGCTACTACATTTCAGTTCTTGCTGATTCTGATGTGAGGCATTCTTTTCTTGCATGGATACTGTAGCAAGAACTCCATCCCACTGTGCAAACAGAAACAAAAGTGTGACAGCACAGTTAGCCAAGTTGTTTTCAGCTGACGGTGAAGGAGTTGGAAAAGGATGACCTGGTGTTTCTGTGGTTCTCCAAGCTCTGTGCTGCCTCCTCYGTGCACAAAACGTGTGCTATCTCCTTCTACGAGTTCTTTGATGGTGTTTGTAAGTTTTCTCGCAGCTTCAGTTCAAGAACAATCCAAATCTTTTGAACGGCTCCTGACAACAAATGATAGGAACYATATATTTTCACCAATGCATGTTCACCATGTAGTGATGAAATCTGTACCTTGCATTTGATCCATCACACGCRAGGTACACCCAAGTGGAACAGCAGGTGGCTATGTAAGCACCCAGGGAGCATTAGGTATCTTGCTCAAGGATACTGCAACATGTGGGTATGGTGGGGACTTGAACCTGTGACTTTCTGGTCCCAAGGCAACTGTTCAACCACTGAACCACAGCCACCCTGAGCTCAGGAGGGTAGGAAGAGTGGGGTTTTGACAAAACACATGGTGTCACCCACGTGATTTAACACGTTTTCACTCCAGACTCATCAACGTGTTGATGCTGGGTCAGGGACCATCTGCGTCCAGTTTTGACGTTTTGGGTACCCCCACCCCCACGCATCAGTAATTGCAGCTCGCGACTTTTCTGGGTTGCGCCACATAGGGGTCTTTGGGTCGGGGGTCTGAGGTTAATATTAGGGATCAGGATTAATGGTTAATTTTAGGTGCTGGGGTCAGGAATAGGCTGTATAGGGCTAATAGAAGTAAATTTTTGGGTCTGGGATGGTTAGTTTCGCGCATTTCCTACTCTTTAAAAAATATGGCAGCGCACTCGTCCACCTCCACCTCATCTCGTAAAAAAYTGACGCGTGGGGGCTACCCGACGCGTCAAAACTGGGCACAGACGGCGACCTCACCAAGCGTCAATATGTTAAGTTGGGAGTGAGAATGGGTTGTGCGATTATATATCCACATACGGCACATGACGACGTGTATCCCTATATGATGATGTCACTTGTTCAAAATCTAATGGCTCTTTGGAACGGCTTTATGAAGCAAATGGCTCATCAACACCCAGATCCCTTCAAAGAGCCATTTGTCCCATCTCTACTCAGTTCAAGTGATATGAGATCAGTGAACTGCAGCTGGTTTTTTTGCATAAACATGCTCACAAAGTGCTGACCAATCACACAATGCTAGGCGCATAACCCTGCCAGGCAGTGGTTCTTCCAGGGCATTGAGAACAGGAGTTCTTTAAGGCAGTGACAGAAAAAATATGTAAATTTTGTTAAGCGACTACTTCAGCGAGACACAGTTTTGGCACTTCTGATGAAGTGTAAACCAGCCTTAAGTATTACAGAGTAAGTCGGGCCTGTAATACAGACCAACACAAGGTAAAAGCTTAAAAATTCACTAATCTAAGGAAACAAAATGCGAAAAAGGTGGCATGGCAACAAGAATACAAATGAAATTCGAAGGTATGAAACCACAACACCAGACTGCAGGTGAGTGGGAGTAGAGAAAATCAATGGCTTGAGGCTGGTGATGAGATTGGAGACAGGTGGCCTAATGGTGACGGAGAAAAGGTACAGGTGGGCGTGGCTGGACAAAATAATGGCAAAATGACACAACACAGGGAAGCACAATGAAAACACAGAAAACAAACACCATAATAAAATAAAGCTCCAAATAGAAAAGTAAAGATAACAAAAAACACAAGTCACAACTCTAAAGTTGTTGCCATTCTGGGCGCAGCATCGCGGCAGTTGCTATGGTGACCGTGCTGACAAATCGCATTTTGAACGGCTGTGTTCAAAATTGCTTCCCATTTGTTGTTCGGTGCACTACATTCTCTGTGTGCCGTTTTATTAAAGTGTTCTCAGATTATTATTCAGAGTGTGATATTTGTCTGCTCTATGGAACCTCGGCTCAGGGATTTGAGAAATCCCCACAGTGAAATGAAAAAATAGAAAAAGCTTTTTTTTTCTTTCTTTTTTTGCTTCCAATTCCACAAAGCATGGTGCCACATWTTATAGATAGACTTTGCTAGGGTCAGCTATACTTAAAGGTTAAAGAACTACTTTAGTTCAACACACTCTCTAGTCACATTGAGAACACCAATTTGCTATGAATGCTAAATATAAAGCCTCTTCTGGGATAATAAAACAGATCCAGGAGGTGCAAATGGGTTTCTGTGTCCTAAAATAATAAAACTTTTAGTCTTTTAAAAGAAAAAAAGGCCTTTTTACATTTCATGAAGCACTCTGTCAATATTCATGTTTGCAGGCCTCAGCAGCCGACAAACAAGCGTGATATGAAGCTGGCAGGATGGTGGAGGTGGGAGAAAGATTAAAATTATTTTGACTGGGAAAGGCTCACATTATTCACATTTTTGGCTGAGCAATGTTAACGTACCATCCTTATCCTGTAAAAAACACAAAGAGGAAGTTTTCTGCTCAGCTCACTGGGCATAAAATTTACTGAGCACATGAAAGGATTATGTTATGTGTTTACACACTTTTGACATTTATCACCCAAAATAAGCGCAATGATGTTTGTGCCTGTTTCTGTTTGTTAGCAAAATATCCCATGAACCCGCAGATACATTTTAATTATACTCTCAAAAAGTTATAAATAAATGAACATCAATATCAAAGCACAATAACTATGGTGGCAAAATCCTGCCAGAATTCACGTGACAGAAAACACGATCTCACGCGAGCAAGTTTAAATCCTGTGCGCGCCTTTAAATGTCCGTGCGAGAGGGGATGAGTTCCGCAAGCGGACATCTGCTCGCGCGCGCACATTCTCTCCTCTCGTGCACAGAATCTCTCTACTCGCGTGCGCGCACTATTACCCGAGTGCAAGCTTTTTTATTTTTTCCCCCTCGTGCGAGCTTCCATTGCTGCTCGCTCGCGCGACTTAYAGCAGAAGGTGGGCTGTTTCACAGATGATGAGCTAAAATCTAGCCTGTTAGCAGCCGAGAATCATCCTCAACGCATACTCTGAGCTCTAAGAAGTTAACATCAGATATTTGTTTAAAATGTCACCCTTCACTGATGGAGTACCGTATTTACTGTCTGTCTGTTAGCAAAATATCACATGAACTACTTGTTGGATTTTAATTTAACTTTCAGGAAGTTATCAGCAAACATACTTTTACCAATGTTTAACTTTTGGAGTCAATCCAATTCTTGATGGCTGCCAG